CCTTTGAGGATGCCATTATGCCCTTAAGGGTCAGAAAAGACAGTTACCATTGTCTTTCTCTCAGACTTTTTACATATCTAAATTCAGTTGAGACCCCTCATGTCCTAGTAGTGCCTAACTCCCATTAGACTCTCAATAAATCTCCACTGTATGATTTAATTAATGACTTGAGGCTAACTTCTTACAGAAATGTTCAGATCCATCTGGGAATGGGGTTTGGGTTGGATATCAGACCACAAAAACCACTAATACGTTGATGGAGAGAGTCAATAGTCTCTTGATGCAGGTCTCGGTCCTGACCCTATTATCGGAGATGAAAGTTCTGACCTTTATATCTGAGAGAGTGATGCTCTACACCACAAAATTCCAAGGGAAAACTCATTGTTTTTTCAAGATAGCTTTTTTTTTTTTTTTTTTGGGCCAACTTCACATTTTTCCTAAAAGGCAAGATGCCAACCGCCTGTCTTTCTAGCAGCCATTTGAGCTGCCTGCTTTACTCTCCTCTGGAGCTTAGCAATTAACCACTACTAGAAACCCTCTGGTCAGGACTCTAGGAAGTCTTTTAATACCATCATTTCTTCAATTTTCTCTACTAAGGAAGTCTTCACAATTCATTAACTGAGTATCAATTCTAGCATAATCTTCCTGTATGTTTTTCTTAAACCTGCAACATTTCACCTTCTGGGCATTGAAAATCTATCAGATAAGTTTTTTAAATTATTTTATTTTCCTGTTTTATTTTGTTGTTCTTTCCCCCCTTTTTTCTTAATAAGAATATCCTTATTTATGGAGGAGTCATCTCTTTTGCTGGAAAAAGGAAAACCTTTAGAAAAGAAATCACTAAACAGTGGTTTATTATTATTATTATTATTATTATTATTATTATTTCTGGTGGGTGGGGAGAGTGCTTAACAAACACACCAGGTTATTTTACTTCCAAGAATAGTGAAGGAGCCATGAGAACAAAAACCATGGTCTTATTATCAGCTCATCTGAGAACATAACTCCATATTATATAGATCCTGGTGTTCAAAAAACACAAAGAGCTGAAATGTCTAATATGGTAATCACTAACTTAGGTGGCTAGTTCAAATTGAGATGTATTATGTGTTAAATGCACACTGATTCCAAGACACAATGTATAAAAAAGAATGTAAAATATATTATGAATACTTTTTATATTGATTGCATATTGAAATGATAATATTTCCTATATAGTATGTTAAATAAAATACTTTTTTTTTGAGATAGGGGTCTGGTTACGTTGCCCACGCTGGTCTTGAACTCTTGGCCTCAAGTGATCCTCCTTTTTCACCCTCCCAGTAGCTGAGATTACAGGAGTGCACCACTGCAACTGGCTAAAATACATTTTTAAAATATCGCTTGTTTATTTTTATGTATTTAATGTGGCTAGTAGAGAAATTTACAATTACATATGTAATTCACATTATATTTTTCTCGGAAAGCACTGACTTAGAGGATTAACAACAATAAGTAATCAATAAAAATAGCTACACAAAACATTTAATTATTTCTGCCTAATGATTATTATACACATTGATATCCCTCTTTTCGAAGGATTATAGAGTATGCCTTTGTTTCATGCTATTTTGAGTTCTAACGCTGCTTTGATAATTTAGGCTTCTGTTTGTTGTCTTTGGCAAGTGGCTTAACCTCATGAGCTCTAATTTTCTCATTTGTAAAATCTGGTAGTATCGATATCCACCAATACAGGGGATTTTGAAAGTATTTGATTCATAGTAAATATTATAAGTATTTTATTCATCTTGTTTTATAGGAAGTTGTATTATTTTACTATTCAATTATGTTTTGCATGTTTAAATATTTGGTTAGAAATTTTGGCTGAATGGAAACCTGCCTAATATCTTTGAAAGAAGAAATATGTGATTAACTTCATCATCTGGTAGAAAAAGATTCTGAAAGGTAGACAATTTGTGGAGAAGAAGGTAAAGAAATTGAGTAAGTTTGCAGCAAACATACCAAAGCACCTATGCCCAAATATATACTGTATGTGTCAAGGTAGTCTCTCTCTGTTTTTATTTTCATATTTAGTAGTAACCTGTGTAAGTATATATTTTATGCAAATTTCCTTCAAGTACTGATTTTCAGATAATTTTGTCAAGTTGATGCATTCTTCTTCTCAAATTCTTCCATAAATACCATATATACTAGGGACGCACTTGCCCTGGATTCTTGTTTAAATGTTTAATTAAGATAAAATTCTATCTAACACATTTTCTAAACACTCTGTAGGTGGCTTGCTTATAGGCAATGACTATTCCTGGGAAGCCCCTGTGTTTAAAAGCCCTTTCACCTCACCTGCAACCAGGAATACTCAATTCATCCTGGCCTGGCATGCAAACCCATGAGATGCACTTGCCTCTCAATTAAAGACATGCATTTATTTCTTCTGAAAATGTCTTCAAGGTCTTGACCCATATATTAAGAGTGAACACATACTTCCAGGACTATCGAGCCCTGCCAACGAACACAGACAAAGTCTTTTTTTTTTTTTTTTTGAGGCAGAGTCTTCACTCTGTCACCCAGGCTGGAGTGCAGTGGCTCGATCTCGGCTCACTGCAAGCTCCGCCTCCCGGGTTCACGCCATTCTCCTGCCTCAGCCTCCCGAGTAGCTGGGACTACAGGCACCCGCCATCGCGCCCGGCTAATTTTTTGTATTTTAGTAGAAACGGGGTTTCACTGTGTTAGCCAGGATGGTCTCGATCTCCTGACCTCGTGATCCGTCCCCCTCGGCCTCCCAAAGTGCAGGGATTACAGGCGTGAGCCACCGCGCCCGGCCCACAGACAAAGTCTTAGAGGCAGACAGGCAAACTCTCGAATATGTCTCAGCTCAAGTGTCATTTCTGGTCTTCAACTATGGCATATTCATAGGCCATAAATAGACTCTCTACCTAAGGTTCGCACATGGCAGAAAACATCCAAGATTTAACAAGGAAGAAAGGAAAATCAATACTCATTTTAATCTCATTTTTCCCTTTTTTTCCAAACAGTCTTGGGTCACCTCCATTGCTATCTCATTTCTTTCTTCACTTAATCCTCTGATGACCTCTCTTTACCATTTGTACTCTGGACCTAATCTCTAATATAGTCCTCAATTTGTTCATTTTTATTTTTAAAACTTTTCTTTTGAAACTGTTTTCAAAGTCAATTGTCTTTCATATTAAATAGCCATTTATCATCAACCTCTAAATGTACATCAGTAGTTCCCACATTTGAGCCTGCATCAGAATCACCTGGAGGTTTGTCAAAACTCAGAGTTTCTGATTTAGTAGGTTTGGGACGGGATGTAGGCATTTGCATTTCTAACAAGTTCCAAAGTGATGCTGAAGCTCTTTGAGAACTGCTGACTTAAGCAAGGCTTTTTGGGGCCATCATCATGACAACTAGTTTGAAGTAATATAACTATCATGACTGATTTCTACTTAGGTTTTGGGCGATTGCACTGAAAGTAATATCCCCAGCTTTGGAAGTTTGAAGGCTTGAGGAGACTGGGGCTATAGTGCTGGGTCAGTGCTCCATATGGTCGATACACAATGGCCATGAGGACTAGTGGATTAGTTGGGGGGTATTTTTTTTTTAAATGCTCTGAAGTGAGAAATAGTTGGCTACTGCAAAAGATTATTCTTCTATCTTTTTTTCCAGGTGTCTGCTGTGTGCTTGCTAATTAAATTGGAGAATCTATAATACACTGCTTAGAACAGCAGGAATTTGTCATATTTGGACCAAAACAGAACAAAATTAAAAAATAAGCTAGATAGCCTGTCTTTTGCTATCCTTTTATTTAATTTAAATAAAAGAAGTAGGATAAATACTAGGTTGTATCATTTTTCACAAATTTAGCTCTTAAAGAATATCATTTCTCTCTGTTTAAAAGCCTGTGGGCTCAGTACCACGGCCCTCATGATCTTATTTCTCCATTCTCTCTCTTGTTTCCTCCTCTTTTCTAAATGTATATTTCTATGGTGACTCAGTTTTTAGTTACCTAGTATTTTACTGTTACTTCAGCAGAAACATGAAGGAGGCTTTTCAATTAGGCCTTCCAGCCTCTAAATTGTTACATGCCATAAGGGGCATTAGTGCCCATAAACCACAAACCAACCAGTGAAAACTGAACTGCTGGTTGCATTTATAATACAGAAGGAAATGCAATATGTGAAAAATCATGGAGGAATATATTTTCCTAATATATTCTGAAAATGTGTGGTTAGGGATTTTTTTCTTTTCTTTTTTAATAATTTAGTTTGGAATAGATTGCACTAGATAATAGCTTGATCAATTTTGCTGACAGGGGCCAGTAGGATAAAATGAATTCTAATTGTTTATTTTTAAAAATCAATGTCTTCCAGTAATGTCGGGAACTAAATGCACTATGGTAAAGAGGATATGCTAACTAAAGCCATGTTTGATGAGTGTTTCATTTCCTTGTCAGTTGTTTTAGTTGAGTCCAAGTCAGCATTATCTTTCTGAATGGATATAGGGCTTATCTACACACTTCCAATATAGAAAGTCAAAATGATCTCAGTCAATGAGTTAAACTACATGCTTCACCTTGCCTGTTTGCTTAGTTTCATCCATCTCCCAGCTGCCTAAATTCCAAGTATTCAGATTCTCCTTTCATTTTTAAATGACTCATGTGTTCAAGGTTTAAAAAATGACAGCACAGGCCGGGCGCGGTGGCTCAAGCCTGTAATCCCAGCACTTTGGGAGGCCAAGACGGGCGGATCACGAGGTCAGGAGATCGAGACCATCCTGGCGAACACGGTGAAACCCCGTCTCTACTAAAAACACAAAAAACTAGCCGGGCGAGGTGGCGGCGCCTGTAGTCCCAGCTACTCGGGAGGCTGAGGCAGGAGAATGGCGTAAACCCGGGAGGCGGAGCTTGCAGTGAGCTGAGATCCAGCCACTGCACTCCAGCCCGGGCAACAGAGCAAGACTCCATCTCAAAAAAAAAAAAAAAAAAAATGACAGCACAACCACCATTTGTCCCAAACTGTGATGATTAAATGTAGCAACTCACTTACTCAGATGGCTAGTGCAGAGAGAAAAAGAGGGAGACAGTGAAAGGAAATTGGAATTGTTAGGAATCCTATCCATTACTTATATCTTTTTTATTCCTTGTTCTTATCATTGTATTAGGTCTTCATGTGGCTATTTCTTTAAAGACAAAGAACAACGAAGATTGAGCCCAGCATCTTGCTATTAAGGAAAAGTGAGTTCTTTCCCATTTCTCATAAACTAAATTAGACCAAAAAAATGTTATATTTCCCTTGTACCTATTTTTTGTTCATCTTACAAATATGGCAAGTCTAGGGCTACAAATCAAAGACAAGTCATATAATTGTCTTGATTACCAACTATTTTAATGTTTACAATTATAGCTGTCACATAGAGCATTAGCTTGAAATTCTTCTTCTTCTTCTTCTTCTTATTATTTGGGTGGGTGGGGGGGGACGGAGTCTCACTCTGTTGCCCAGGCTGGAGCACAGTGGTACGATCTTGATTCACTGCAGCCTCTGCCTCCCGGGTTCAAGCAATTCTCCTGCCTCAGCCTCCTGGGTAGCTGGGATTACAGCCTTTCACCACCACTCCAAGCTAATTTTTGTATTTTTAGTAGAGACAGGGTTTCACCATGTTGGCCAGGCTGATCTTGAACTCTGGACCTCGTGATCTGCCTGCCTCGACCTCCCAAATTTGTAGAATTACAGGTGTGAGCCACTACACTCTGTCGAAATTACTTTTTAGTCCAAATTACCACCATTCTACTGCTGTGTGGTTAGGGTTTGGGTTCTATATGAAGAGTCCCATAGTTATTATCTCTTGCCATAGGCTGGGCATAGGTGCTATAAATTCGTTTTCATTGTTAGTTATAATTTATACTCTTCTAAGGTAATGATGCACATATAAGTTAAGCATAGCAATAAAAACTTGCTTCAAACAGATAAACAAAATGCTTATTTTTAGAGTGAATAATGTACAAAGAATGTACATTTTAGACCCATAAAAAGGAAATGGGGCATTCTCTTTCCTACCCTAATATACATATTCATTTCCTTCAGCTCACTGAAACTTCATTTTATGAACTTACTTAATGTAAATAAACAAGTGAAAAAATAAACAAATACACTTCTTGGTGTCATGCTAATGTCTCAACTATGTTGCAATTAAGTATCTTGTATCAAAAATTTTAAGAAAACTAAAAGTTGAAACTAAAAGATGTTAATCACAGGACAATGATTTTATGCCTTTATTTAAAAAATAAAGGTGAAATGGAACTTTGCTTTTCTACAACATCCATTAACTGCCCTTTTAAAAAAGAAATACAGAAAAGTATAAATTCATAGTAATAAATTGATTTGGGATAGAAATATACACACAAAAATGTTACTGCTGAAAAATCTAAAGACTCCACCAAAAAACTGTTAGGACTGGTAAACGAATTCAATAAAAATGCAGGATACAAAATCAACATACAAAAATCAGTAGCATTTTTATATTCCAACAACAAACAACCCAAAAAGGAATTAAGAAAGTAATTCTATTTACAAAATTAAAAAAACACATACCTAGCGATAAACTAAATCAAAGGAGGGAAAGTTATTTACAATGAAAAGTATAAAATTGATACCAGAAATTGAAGCAGACACAGAAAAATGGAAAACTATTCTGTGTGGATTGGAAGAATCAACACTGGTAAAATGTTTACATTACCCAAAGTAATCTACAGATTCAATGCAATCCCTATCAAATATCAATGACATTTTTCACAGACATAGAAAAAAAATCCTAAAATTCAAGTGGAATTACAAAAGACCCAGAATATCCAAAGCCATCCTGAGCAAAAGGAACAAAACTGGAGTAATCACATTACCTGACTTCCAGTTATACTACAGAACATCATGGTGCTGGCATAAAAACAGACACAGAGACCAATGGAACAGAGTAGAAAATCCAAAAACAAATCCAAATCCATGTATCTACAGTGAACTCATTTTCAACAACGGTGCCAATAACATGTATTAGGGAAAGGACAGTCTCTTCAGTAAATAGTGCTGGAAAAACTGGATATCCATACACAGAAGAAAGAAACTAGATCCCTATCTCTCACCATATACAAAAATCAAATTCAAACTGATTGAAGACTTATCTCTAAAACCTCATGCTGTGAAACTACTAAAAGAACACACTGATAAACTCTCCAGGACATTACTTTGGGCACAGATTTCTTGAGTAATTCTCCACAAGCAAAGGCAACTAAAGCAAAAATGGACAAATGGAATCATATCAAGTGAAAATGCTTTCACACAGCAAAGGAAACAAGAAAGTGAAGAAACAACCTCACAAAATGGGAGAAAATATTTGACAACTAGCCATCTGACAAGAAAGTAATAACCAGAATATATAAGGAGTTCAAACAACTCTATAAGAAAAAGTCTAATAACCTGATTTTAAAAAGGGCAAATATTTGAATATATATTTCTAATAACAAGGCATACAAATGGCAAACAGATGTATTAAAAGATGTTCAACAGCAATGATGATCAGATAAATTCAAATCAAAACTACAATGAAGAATCATTTCACCCTAGTAAAAATGGCTTTTATCTAAAAGAAAGATAAAAATGAATGCTGGTGGGGATGTGGAGAAAAGGGAATCCTCCTACATTGTTGGAGGGAATTACAACTATTACAACCACTAAGAAGAACAGTGTGGACGTTGCTCTAACAGCTAAAAATAGAGTTATCATATGATCCCACAATCCCACTGCTGGGAATATACCCAAAGGAAGGAAATCAGTATACTGAAAGGATATCTACATTCCCATGTTTATTGAAGCACTATTCACAATGGCTAAGATTTGGAAAAACTTACATGTTATCAACAGACAAATGCATAAAGAAAATGTGGTACATAGGCACAATGGAGAACTAATCAACCATACAGAAAGAATGAGATCCTGTCATTTGTTACAACATAGATGGAACTGGAGGATGACATTATGTTAAATGAGATAAGCCAGGCACAGAAAAACAAACTTGGCACATTCTCATTTATTTGTGGGAGCTAAAAGTAAAAACAATTGAACTCATGGAGACAGAGAGTGGAATGATGGTTACCAGAAGGTTGGAAAGGTAGTGGAGTGCAGGGGTAATGGGGATCATTACTGCATATAGAAATATAGCTAGATAGAAAAAGTAAGATCTATTATTTGATAGCACAGCAGGGTGACTGCAATCATCATTAATTTATTGTACATTTTTAAATAACTAAGAGTATAATTGGAATGTTCATAACACAAATAAATGATAAATGCTTGAAGCGATGAAGAGCCCATTTGCCTTCATGTGATTATTACATATTTTATACCTGTATCAAAGTATCTTCCGTACCCAATAAATATATATACTTACTACGTATCCATAAAAATTAAAAATAAAATTATTTAAAAAATTAAATTGTATATAACTCCATCTGCAAACCATGGACAGTTAGGAGATTTTTGTTTTACTGTGGTTTTCACCATTATTCTTTAAAATGCCTTGTCCCTCCTTCTAGCAACATTTCAATATTAGATTAAATGAGGTGTTGTAAGTAGAGGTCTAATTCAATTAACTAAAAAATATTTTAGTCTAGTTTATTGTATTAAACTATATAAAATGTGTGAGCAAAAGAAGATGTACACTATTTAAAATATAACACATTTCTGGGAGGCTAAATTGGGGCTAAATTGGTCATTCTGCCATATTATTATTCATGAAAAAGAATACTCTCCCTCAAAAATATGAATATTTGCCATCCAAGGGGCATATATAAACAGAGTAGAAGAGAAAACCTCTAATTATTTTTACCAAGGACACTGCTAGATTGCCTATTTCCTGGTGTTCTGATATCATACTTATCAAACAACCTTCAGATTTAAATTTGACTATCCATGTAGCTGTTCCACAGGGAAAGAATAAGCTAACCATTAAATGTAGATATTCAGTCTATTTGGAAGAGTTTTTTTATATAAATGAATACATTTTAATTTCAATTTTATGCATTAGCCCCTTGAGATTGGTTAGCTTGAATATATCCCAGAGAGACTGATTCTCAATTCATTGATAAAATAGAATTTCTCATCACTCAAAACTGACAATGAGATATTGGAAATAGTGACAAAATCAAGGTGCTATTTTAGACAGGGCTTCCCAGATATTAGAAGACTGAATTCAATTCATGAATAAACGAGGTGGCAAATAATGTGTGTCATGAAAAAACACTTGGGAAGTAAAATCACCACTTTAATATAACTGATAGGGAAATGCATAAGTATATGATACTGTTTATAATGCTGGGAGTAAAAGTAACAGATCAATAAAATAGCCCTATCTTTATTCAGTGCAATGCTGTTCAACCCTTCTTGCAGGTGGTAGGTGTCATATTCTTTTAGGGATGCTATAATAAAATAGCATAAACTGAGTAGCTCATAAAAAGCAGAAGCAGAAATTTATTTCTCACAGTTGTGGAGTCTGTGAAGTACAAGATCAAAGCACCAACAGATCCAGCGAGTTCCCACTTCCTGATTCACAGAACAATGCTTTCTTGCTGTGTCCTGGCATGGAGGACGAGGTCAACAATCTCCCTTAGGCCCCTTTTATAGGGCATAAATTCCATTCATGAGTTTGAAGTCCTCATGATCTAATCACCTTCTGAACCCCACCTCTTAATACCATCACCTTGGAAGTTACAACTTCAAATATAAATTTTGAGAGGGCACAAACATTCATAGTATAGCAGCAGACGAGGCCATCTAGAGAGTGCTTACATAAGCCAGTACCACAGCATACTCACCAGCAGCCAGAGCTTAACAGGCAGACATTTTGCTAAGGAAGGGGTGACATGGACCAAGCCAGATGCTAGTTTCTTGGCCTACCACAGTAACAGTGAGGGAAAAGCCAAAGATGAACTTTTGAATCATGAGGCTGCGAGTGACAATCTATAAGAGAGATTAGAATTGAAAGAGCTGGTCAATATTAAAATGCTGTGGGAAAGATATTGTAGTCGAGTGAACTGGGAAGGACTCATCATATTCATGCTCTAGATTTTCTCATCAGCCTTCAGTAGAACTATAACCTTCCAAGCTGTGCAGTTGAGTTCAGTTTTGTCCTGACTACTTGGAGCATCAGGTATGTGATGATTAATTTTATGTATCAAATTAACTGGGCCAC